CCCCCAGCCCAACCTCCAACCAAGAGGACCAGGGGATCTGCTCTCTACCCCTCGACCTGTTCAGCATGGGTCACCCTACCAGGAGTACAAGACTCCAGCCGACAGCTTTAGGGGTCACTGAGACACACAAACCATCCCACCACTATAAGGTGGTGGCCCATTAGGATATCAATCCATGACTGGTTAATTCAATCAACACTAATAAATTGTTTGTGCTTGCTCATTTTTAGCTTCCAATGATTCTGTTGCTAGGATTCTCCATGTTTGTAATAAGTGTTTTAATTCCTTCAAGTAAGTATTTGTTACTCTGTGTGATTTACTTTGCAATACAAAGTTACTCCACAATACTTAACCAGCTTGAAATGATCTTTCCCAGAAAAAAAGAATTGTTAACTTTCAGTAGGAGCGTGAAACTGTTGCAGTCCCAAACCTGAACATTAAATGTTGTACTTTATTGTTTTCTTTTATTTTTCAAGTTTGAAGTGTTTTTCATGTTGGCCATGCTGTGTAAGAGTTTATTTTAAAAAGCTCTTCTTGATTGAAAGTTTATTTTAAGGAAGGAGCTAGGGTACATGAACTGTTTCATGCTGAATTAAGACTCTCGATGTTGTGTACCTGGCCTTAATTCTAAACCTTGTATAGTGATACTGACAGCATACAGCAGTTTAGATTTGGGTGTCATGAAGCAAAACCTGAGCAAGTGTAACAGCCAGTTATGGGAAACACAGAAAAAAAACAGTGAGAACAATAAGCTTCCAAATACATGTTGTTGTTTCCTTGTGCAGTGAAATGCACATGACCAGGTCAGATTGATTTTGGTTTTAAATCTGATTGGTTGATAAAGTGGTGCAATTTTTGTTAATTATGCAAAATAATACACATGTAAAGCAAAATCAACATAATTCTTAGTCACTTTCAACAATAAGTTTAAAACTACCCAAGCATGTAAATTACGTCAATTGCTTTTACACCATGTAACTTGTGGTAGCCCACAAGAGATAACTCTCCTTGAGTAAACTGTCTTTCTGATTTGAATTTTACCTCTTGTTGCAGCTGAGTATGGTGTACAATTTCTTTACGTGTTGTTTTGGGGAGGCGCTGTCCTGATGACATTGTATGTTGTGCTGTACTTTGGTAACGAGTATGTTGACCAACCACGACTTGTACAAGTTCAAGGCAAGGACAAAAATGTTTGACTAGAGACACCACCAGTTTCCCACTACAGCTGGGTCTGAGTAATTAATTGAATATACAGTACAACAATTTTCAAGACATGGTGCTATATAAATGCGCTTTGACATAAAGTTTTCATAATGTAGAAAATCTTCCTGGCTAGTGAGTGATCACGGCCAGAATTAATAATATTGCAGATTTATGCTGTACAAAATAGCGTTTGATGTATGTTCCAGGAAGAGCTCTTGTCATTAAGTATTGAAAGCTCTGTTAAGGGTTATAGTGACTTTTTTCCCTGCCAGCAAATCAGTATAAATGTTACCTGCAAAAGCAAATAACCAATGACTTCACCACTTTATTCTGTCTGATCAGAAAATATCCTAACTACCATCTTGGGGTGGAAGTTGGGGAGGAATTTGTCAGACTTTACAGAGCTTTTATGGAAGGTACAGTATTATAGTCATTATTTCCATGGTTTAAGAGTACAAATAGGTTCCTAGATTTAAAGATTTATGTCTTCGATTAAAAGTAATTATTAGGAAAATTTAACTAGTTATATAGCAAAGTAACTTGCTTGCATGGTACCCAAGTTTCTGTGGATTCTGTCTTGCATTCATTGATCTTGTATTTCATGTTGTGTAATAGCAATTTTTTTCTTGTGTATTCTTTAAATGTCCTGGTTAATCAATATAATCAGAAAGTTTTTTTCGTGAATCCTTTGCATTACTCCAAATGGAAATTAGCAGTTACCCCTTTAAACCACAGGCAAATTAATAGAAATCTATTTTTGAACCAAAGTTATTTAGTCGTAAGAGTACTAGCTTAACCGAGAGTGAGGTCTTTTCAGGAAAATCTCAGACCAAGAATTTGCCCTATTGACCAAGTGATAGCGAGGTCAATACTGCAAGGCTGAGGCTTGAGATTTTCCCACAAAGACCAAATGTTTGAGGTTAATAAGTTGTTTATTATATGGCTTTTTGCTTTGTTTTTGCAAGCCCGTAATTGGCCCTTGGGCATTACGGGAGAATAATGCCCTAGGATTAGCCAATCAGAGCGTGCACTATATCAGCTACAAACACAGGCCATATAATAAGACTTTTAACATCACCACTAGAGGACAAATTTTAATGTGCTAATGAAATGGCAAACATGAAGCAAAGTAATTTGTTCAGTTTTCCAGATAAGGGCTAGCTATAAGTAATTTGGTATTTGATCATTTGTAAATTGACAGGAATGATGGCTTCTTTTAGGTTAGAAATAGTTTTTAATGGGTTTTAACCAGTGATAAAGCAGTTTTGTCAAGTAGACCTACATAGACTTAGATTAAGATTGTTACAGATAGTGTTGAATCATCTAAAAAATTCCTAGAGGATCTTGATTTTATCCACTTGTCATTTTTTTTTTTTTTGTTTTATTCATTCCTTGACTTCGGCAGCTCTGTAAATCCCAGCTTTGCATGAAACATATTCATTTGGTAGTTATAATCCATCAAATATTTTCACGTGCATGCAGTTGGTCTAAGTGCATCAGGTGATTGGGGAATATCTGAGTGATATTCCCCAATTTTCCAAACTGCCTGTGTTGTGACAAATATTTGAAGGATAATAAACACAATAGCCTCCATTAGGCACAAAATTATGCTTGGATATTTGTCCTTGGACATTACCGGTATCTGTTCCTCAAAGCTCAAAGTTTTCCTCAAGCTATGCTCTCAGAAAACTGTTTGCTTCTCAGAACAGATAATGTCCACAGACAAATATCCTAGCATATTCTTGCACCAAATGGAGGCTGTTGTTTATTTATTGACTGTAATTACATCATAGCCAAAGAAAATGGAGCTGAGCCACATTTTCTCATTAATTTTACAATAGTTTCACTGGGCACTTTAAAACAAAGCAGTACATTGCTTTGTACATAATTCTTTATTCTGCACATAAAAAGGAACTAGCACCTGAAGGAGGACAGTTTCATTATTCCGTACAAATGGTAACTGAAGTATCCTATCTGTTTATAAATAGAAACATCTCAATATTATGGTATAATAATATTATTTATTGAGAGACAAAATTTGAGAAACACCATGAATAAAACATTGATAATGTTCATTTTGGTTTTCACTTATTGAATTTCCCATCAGTGTTGGAACAGAAGGGGTGCAGATGGGGAATTAGAGGCTCTTACTTGGTGTAGAAGACACAGTTGACATAAAAGAATAGAACAAGAGGACAAAAGAATGAGGAATACAATAAAAACAACAGGTTTGTGAGGCAGTGTTCTATTGTGACTTGCACTGTCTTTTACACCAAGGAGCCAAAATTATTATTACCTCGCATAGCAGACAAAATCAAGACTTATGAGGGAAGACAACAGGAGAATGGGAGATGAATGCATCGTTTTGTCCTTTCACCTTTATGCAATGACATATGAGCACTCATACACATATGTCAAAAAAAGAAAGCACCGGTAGCCTTAATATTTTGGCTAAATTCACCGTCAGCATCGTATCACACAATCATGTTCTGCATCTAGCTCACAGTAGTCAGTGTTGGTGATTGTGCTCATAGTCACTTCTCTGTGCAGCTTTTGTCTAGCCGATAGAATTCACCAGATAGAGTTACACTCAGTCACATACAGTGATTTTAATCAACTAGATCAGCTTGTGCCACAATAATTGCAAGGTGGAATTGAGCTGAAATTACAGTCACATTTAAGACTCCTCTGTAGACTTTGAGGTTTGTTTTCCATTCCTTACAAGAAGCTCTCAAAAGTTTCTTGGAACCGCTGTATATCGCCATTTTTACAGGTGACTGTGTTGCTGACCAAGTTTTACTTTTTTTGCTCCCATAAGGAAAAGACACATACCAGGGAGTTTTCAATATCATTATTATAAATGATGAAGTAATCTGGCAATTACGTTAATTGGTTTGGGTTTTATTATGGTTTAAGATTGGCTGAGTAGTCTAACTGGTAGGTAAATTATTTGGTTTTGGTTTTACTTTTACAACACTCGATTGAAAAATGCTCTAGTCTTAAAGCAAAAAGGGATCAATTAGAACACAGCTGATACATGTAGCAATTTAATTGCAATGTGTACCAAGTATAAATTATTACAAGTATGGTCAACTCTACAAGTTTTTTTGTTGTTGTTGTTGTTGTTGTTCATAATCTAAAGACATAGCAAATACTGCATCACAAAATCAGCCAAATATACCTTGGGGGATTTAATTTGCTAGTTACAAAAGCAGAGTTTTTTTGAGATTTTTTTTTTTTTTTCACTTTCTTTGCTTCCAGACACTTTTATATTAACTATCACACTCATTGCATTCTGAATATTACTAGAAACGACCTGAAAAAAGTAAGGCTTGTTAAGTAATAAGCACTATGATTAAGTTCCACAGAATCACTTTCAAATACACCTCCTTCATTAAAAAGCAACCAAAACTAAATACATACATTATCCTGTTAGTATAAATGATTTTCTATAACTGCCGTCTTAAGGAAAAATTTGGCCTAAAATCCTGATGTGGTCATGTCCTTGATTCTCGTAATCTGCCTACTGGGGTTTGTTATAAAAAGATAGTGAGAAGTTAGGATTTAATCTTTGCTAGGGGTTGAAGGGTTAAAATTTGAAAAAGCTTCACTTTACAGTTACAACATGCAAGCCTTGTTTGGTCAAGACAAATATTTTTCTATTAGAAGCTT